TGGGTCCTGTTGGTCTCCCTCCCTGCCGCTGAAACCAGTTCTTCTTGGTTGCAAGCGTGTGAATCGTAGCTCATCCAACATCTGTCCTACCCTCCCCTGTCTTTGCTGGGAGTCACACTCCTCTAGCTCTCATGTTGGCGTAACCAAGTTTATACTGCCCCGCCATGGTCCAGCCATCGGCTTGGCTACATGGATGTTTAACTGTAAAGCCATATCCCTGATGCTAGGCATGTTCATTTCTCTGCTTTCGCGGGACTTTCCAGCCATACCCTTCAGAAACCTTATTCTCTTCAGTGGAGTTATTTGTTTCCTCTGCAGGCTGGCCTCATCCCTTACTTTCCAAAGATTCCCAAGCTCCCAGAAAAGCAGAATGCAGAAACACGCTATTCAATACACATTTGGTGACATTGTCTGCTGTGACAAAGACAGCGCCTGGTCAGGCTCCAGTAACATGCTTATCACGGGTGACATGGTCCAAACTCACTTTTTCTTTCTGTAGTTTCCCCTTGACACAAGGGATTCGGGGTTCAGGCACTGCATTTGCCCCCTGCCTGCTCCTGCGGCCTCAGACTTAGCTTTTCCCATGCTCCTGAGGACAAAGCGGGGTGCTGACCATGACGTTTCCAAACTGGAAACAGCCTGCACTTGCTGACCCCAGGCTTTGTTTCCCCATTCCATTTTGTTGCCAAATCTTTGGCGTGTTCTTGGTTTTTTTCCTCTTTGCCTCATGTGGTCCCTCTCTGGGATGGTGCATGTACACCATTCACTCCCTCCAGGATGCCTCCAAGAATTTGAGGAAGCCAGGTATGACTAGCAGAGGTGTGTCTGGGCCTTTCTCTTGCCAAGCACACTATCGGCCCCTTGGCCACTTTCCTGCTTCTGTCTCACTCAGGTGCATCACAATAGCGCCTAAAGGACTCAGCGTCGTCCTGCTGCAGATGCCCATAGGAAGATGCACAGTGTCCGAGGAGCTTGTAATCCAAACAGGGGAGAAAGAGAGCGGCTGGGAGGATGCGTGGAGAATTGCTGTTGTTGTGTAGGTGGGGCCTGAGGTCCAAAGAGAGTCAAAGACTTTCCCGATGTCATAGGGCTGGAAACTGAGCCTTGACACCCAGTCCAATCTAGCTAGGGGCAAGCATTGGAGCAAAGCTGCCAGGTTTCTCTTCAGCCAAAACCCTCTGGAACAAAAAATCCCCCTGTCCTGCTGCATTGCACCTCGGTGAGAAAGCTCGGCTCAGGCTGGCACGACCGAGCTTCCAGCTTCCTCGGCCGCATCATTCCAGGATCACTTCCTCATTCCTGTCTCGCTCCCTTCCTCCGTCCTTTCCTTTCGTCCCACCAGCCCGGGCAGCGGGGGCTTCCCCTGCACCTTGTTTTTGGCATTTGTCCTCTCTGATTTTTCTGCCTTCCTTTCTCCGAATCATTTGCAAGCCACTGTGTAAATCATCTGCTTGGGCCCCAGGAGCCTGCCGGTCCCCAGGAACAGCTTGTGTTTGGAAACTGGAAGGCTTAAGCCAGATGAGGAAGAGAGGATCGAACCTTCGATTTGGGAACAGCTGCATAGAGGTCCCCGTGAGCGAGTCTCACCCTTCCCTGCATCAAAGATTATTTGCAAAACAACTGGAAAATCTTTTGCTTTAGAAATGACAAGTTAATGATTGTTGGAGCCAGGCACAAGGAGGGGAGCCGGGGTTAGGAAGCACCTGCAGTGGGGTCACAAAGGCACCCGCACCCTCGGGGAAGCACTGGGGGGATGGCATCTTGCTCACGGCCTTCCTGTTGAAGGGCATTGCCTTATGTTAGTCCCTGCAGGCACGCTGCACCCCTTGCTTTAGCTGCTGAAAACTATTTCCATTACAAACCAAGAATTATGAATGCAGATTGTGAGGTGCTCTTGGGAACTGATCACGCACCAGCTCGGTGCTTCCTACCTGACGCCCATTTGGGGTCTTCACTGAAGACATTGTCCCACCCTTGGGAGCTGGTGCACACAAAGGTATGTGAAAGGGGTCTGTGCAAATCTGCTGGAAACCAAAAGGTCCCCTGTGCGCCTCGTAATTATTCTGCTTCCTTCTAAGCGTCCCAGACTTCTGGCCTGGCTCGGCTGCCTAACTCAGTGCTTTTGGGAGTTGCCAGTAAGTCACAGGAGCTGCAGAGAAGGGCTGGGAACAGGAAGCTCTTGAGGAAATCTGGCCAGTTTGGACTGATCTGGTTTGCACCGAGTGAGGTGAGTTTGTCAGAAAGTGGAGGTTACCATAGCACCCTTCAACTTCCTGGCCACAAAAAGGCAGCAGCTGCAGACACGGATACCATAAGCTACTGGTGTAGCCCAAGACTTCTGCTTCTGACCCTTCGAAGGAGCTCCCTCTCCTCCCCAACCGCAGGAGATGTAATTCAGGAGCCAGCTCTTGTGCATGGTGAAATGAGCCCTGCAAATGTTGCAACGATAGTTGGAGAGACAGAAACAAAAATCCCTCTCTGAAGACATAGGACTCAGAACGTCCTTTAAACATGGTCCTGAGCCAGATCCACCTGTTTCTGGGCTTCCTCCTTCCTTGCCCTGGGTCACGGCGGATGACACCAAGAAAGTGACTTGGCCAAAAAAGGTGGAATGGGGGGAAATAACAAAAATGCCATCAGCGTGAGTCAGGTGTCTCCACTGAGGTCAGCTCTGCAGCTGAGACCAGAGATGAGCACCGTGGGGACCTGCAGCAGGTGGGAGACGGTGCGAGGACACGTGAGAAACCTACAGGGACGGAGGAGATAAACAGCCGGGTACATCTCAGAACAAAGATCTGTACCCATCCTTTTAAAGATGATTTATTCTCAGCCCCTGTTCTTCAGTTCTCAATAGGAGCTAGAGAAGACGCCCTTTCGTGTAACCGTTTCCCCGGCTGATGCCCATCAGTTCTTCGGGACTGGGAGAAAGAGGAAAGGTCACTTCTTCCTTTTCGAAAAGTCATCCACAATGTACTAGAAAGTGATCCTCGCTCTGGGGGCTTCTTCAGCCACCCCATGGACTGGAGAAGAGAAGTGTGCCCTGGCCATAGAGGTCGTGGGAGAGGGAAGTGCCAAACAAAACAGTAGACTCCAGTTGTCTTCTCCTATAAAAGTCTATAAAACCGAGCTAGGTTTATTCACTCCCACTGAGGACCAGTCTCAGAACATTTTTAAACCAATTTTGGTAGCCAGGAGGGGCCTACGGCATTTGTCCTCATAGATTTCCATTGTACTTTATCAGCAGGGGCTGGCCCAGGTATGGAACGGCACGAGCCCCACCCCGGTGCTAGCTCAGGTCTCGGATCCAGCCTCATTGCACACTTGTGGGACTGACTTTGGTGGGTCGATGAGCCCCCGGCCCAGCTCTGAGCTGAATGTGCCCTACAACCAGCTTCCAGGAGGAATAAGCCCTTTTGTGCTCTCATCTTCTGAGCGTCTCTCTGCCCTGTGAAGGACTCCGCTTTGTGCTCTCCCCTTCTTTTGGAGCCGTTCCCCATGTGAGGAAGCCTACGCTAGGTCTGGACACTGGGACATGGCAACATGAGTAAAATAGCAACACATATGCACGGCAACACAAGTGCGTAATGCTCAGCTGGGCTAAGGACTAGGCAGGTGGGGACTTGATCGTCAAGTCAACAGATATTTTAAATGAAATGCAAAATACCCTTTGTTAACTCCCAATTTGCTGCTCCCTTTAATCCAGAGTGCTGATACAGAGCTTGAGTAGGTAGAAGGAAGTAAACTCCAAATCTCTGTCTTTCTGAATCCTCCCATTTCAGGGTGTGTGTGCATGAGCTGGAGAGGGTGGGGACATCTGCGTTTTAGTCCTCCCCAAAGCGTATAAATAGGCTTTGCCTCTCTGCTGCTCTTCCTCAGACCCCTGGTGCAAGTGCAGCGAGAGAAGCAGCAAAGCTGACCATGGCAGCCCTCCCTTTTGCACTGCAATTCGTCGTCCTCCTCGGGGCCCTCGTTTCCCCAGCCTACTTGCAGCAGTGTGACCAAGTGACCAAGAATGGTACTCAACGTGGCTTTTACACCGTAGCTGTGTATCCTACTTCATACAAGGCAAATACCTCCTACACTGGTGAGTTGGCTCCGAGAGCTTTCCTGCTGCAGTCGTGTCCGTCTCTCTCTCGCTCTCTGGCTCTTCGTAGGGGCGGGGGAACTTTATATGAACTTGGGATAGGGGAGATGACATGCTTTTGTCATTTCAAAGCAAAATATGTACCAGTTCTCCGGGATCACTGGCAATGTTGTCTCCTTGCTCAGGTTCTGATTCTTAATCTCTGCCGAAACTTGGCACAGAACTTGAAAATTGTCCGAAAATGCATAGCACTTTCGGTAGACTTTTTCCCCCCCAAACTGTTAGAATTTATCCTTTGTTGTCTCAATGAAAGTTAAGACAATGGGGGAACCTGCCTGGGGCTGTCCTACTGAGATGCCTTTTAGAAAACCAGCCTTGCAATAGCTTTCATTCTTGCAAAGCACCCGACCCCACGGTGATTAGAGCCTGATCCAGTTCCCAAGAAACCGTAACAAATCTTCCTTTGCTTTTGAGAAAAGCACAATCAAGCTCTAAATCTGACTAAATGCTGGGGTCGATGGACAGCTGCTTCCTACACCATCCCCTGGCACAACTCAGCAGAGATCCTTCAGGATCTGAGCCCACAAGCGGTTCCCGTAACTCTGAAATGTCCCGGTGGGTTCATTGAAGGATGATTTTGATTACAGGCTTCCTCAAGCTGGGGACTTGGAATAACCAGGGATTACAAGGAGATACGAGCCAGGGGGTTGCTTTTTCTTTACCCACCAGCCAGTATTAATAAAGGCATGATGCTGGGCAGCGCCGGTAACAGACTGTTCAAAGCCACGAGCCTGGGACTCGCTCCCGGCCAGGAATCACTGACACGCGGTGAAACCTGTCTGTTTTCTGTCCCTCGACCCTGAAGTGGGCACTGCTCTTCATTGCATGTCTTTGGGATGATGGGTGTCCTCTAAAGGGCCCCGAGGCTGCAAAGCCAGCCCCTTGAGAGCCCAGCAACCCCCTTGGCTCAGAACCTGTGGACTCTGGCTTTCAAAACCCTTGAAGCCCGGGAGTGGGTGCGTTGATGCTGCTGTTTCACAGCAGCAAAAACTAACTTTCTTCTCTCTTGCATTCCCTCCAGTAACCATCAGCAACATCAAAAACAGCACGGCAGCTTACCTGCAAGCCTCAATTGCACCGAATTCCTCTGTGGGCCGGTGGGAAGCTCAGAGCTGCAGCAATGGCCACTGGGTAGACCAACCACGCATAGCTGAAGAAACCATCACAGCCAAATGGCTGTCCCCAAATGCAACTGAGGGTCCCGTGGATATCAAGTAATGTTCTTCTTTGGCTTGCAGGGGAATAGAGGGAGCTTGCATGGAAGCTTTTGGGATAAGAAGTCCAGGAGGGGGAGGGTGGGAGGGGAATCCACTCTAGATATAAAAAGCAATGGAAATTCAAACTGGTGTGGGAATATCTGGAGAAGAGAAGACCGAGAGGGACTGAATAGCAGCCTCCAACACCCGGCAGGGGGGTTGCAAAGGGGATGGAGCTGGGCTGGTCTCAGTGGGGGCAGATGACAGAAGGAGCAATGGGCTCAAGCTGCAGCAAGGGAGGTACTCCACAGTCTTGTTTGGGTTTTACGCCAGGAAAGGAGACAGAAAACCTGGGAAAGGAGCTGGGTGGATTTGGGGCAGACTTCAGCACCGTTTCAGATCTGGCTTCCATTAGCATGTGCACATAGAGCAGCTCTGTAGGAAATAAGCAGATGGATACCCATCATGTTGCCATTGGCACTGCACGAGCCGGGGATATATTTCCTCAAGGAAACCATAATGTAGATAAAAGCTTATCAGGATAATGGCTGCAAAGAGAAAGAATTCAGTGCTTAATCACAACGATTTCTATTTAAACTGAGAAGCTGGTGTCAATAGAGTTACTCCCTGCTCCCAAGGTCTCTTACACAATCATTGGCAAGCGCTGTAAAGCAACACACGCCAGCCAGTTGTTTGCACAGGGTGACTAATAAATTAGTACAGGTGCAAAAGATAAAGGGGACTTTGCCATAAGGCCCCAGTAGAAGTGCGCTCTCCAGGACTCCCTTTGTTCTTCTTCCCTTTCTCTGTCCATGATGTACCTTTGTATATTATTCCATAATGCAGACCAAGGTCCTGATGCCTGTTACTTGTTTTCCTCCAGGGTGTTTGTCACCTTTTCCAATGGCTCCGTCCTGTATCAGAGGCAGACGCTGAACTACGGTAAATCTCCCTACAGTCTACCTCTCCCTTTGCAGGGCTGGTGGTGTTGCAACCCAGTCGAGTAATAGTTGCTGAACCCATCCCATCCTCGGGATGCATTCCTCTCCTCTAATGAAATGGGAGGCAAGTGTTAGTTGAAAATGGGTGAAAGTTGCTCCCATGACAATGCTGTCTTCGATGTGGATAGGTCCCACTGGAAACTCCAACCACCTTTAAAAGGCCCGGGGTGGCTAATAAGAGGAGAGGATGGGCTAAACGTTCAATCAACCTCTCTCCCTTGGTTTTTCCATACTAGGCCAAGGATGTAAATGGTTTACAATGGCACAGCTCCCTTGACTAGGCTTCTCCTGGTCTTATCCCCATCGGGAATCTGCACCTGGCTCTGCCAGTTCCTCCTGCCGCAGGCCTGAGCCCTTGCTTGGCCTCTATTCAGTGGCATGCATTTCCAGCAAGCCCAGAGAGACAGTTCTCAGCTACTCCCTTTTGGTCATTGGGTGCTTGCAGAATTGCTAATCTGCTATTTTGGTTTCCTCTTCCTGTGTTTCAGAAACCGGGGCAGTGACCGGGACCCGGTCCACCACCTACAGTGCTGCCTCCGGCTTCACGGTGACCAGGACCCACTCCGCCACCCACAATGCTGTCACTGACTCCATGGTGACCAAGACCCAGTCCACCACCGACACGGCTGTCTCCGACTCCTTGGCCAGCTTGTCCCTAGTGGCCGCCGTGCAGCTCCTGACACTCTTTGCCACCAGCAACCTGCTCTCCTAATGGGCACCGCGACTCCCGCTGAACTGCACCTTCCCACCGTCGTGCAACCCAGCAGCCCGGGGGTGGGGAGAGGCAGCAGATCTACTCAGGAAATGTCTTTTGTTTAACATGTCTATAAAGCTAATGACTGCACTTTTTAGACCCTCTTTAACCAGAGAGTTGACCCCCAACCCCACTGCCAGCCAGGAGAGGGAATAGGAGAAGGGACTCAGTGGGGCAGGCTTCTCAAAAGCTCTTTCCTTGGTCCCAGAGCTGGTCAGACAGGTTGTAAAGTTTGTGATACCGTACTGCGGGGACTCCTGTCTGATGGGAGCTGTGGAGCTCCTGCCCTCCTGAGCCTCTATGGTCCATGAAGTAGAAACAGCATGGAAACACTGTAGGAAGCCAAGCTGGTTCCCATCCTGGGGGTTGGCAAAACAATCTGGAGAAGGGTCTTCCAGACTTGGAAGTAGAGTTTAGCCTGTGGTTGTATGGGACGGGTTGGAGAAGGAACGATCCTGCCTCAGGCAGGGGGTTGGACTAGATGACCTCTGGAAGTCCCTTCCAGCCCTGCTTCTCTATATGTTTCTATGACTGTGTGACTCTAGAAGCAGACCCAGCACCTTCTCGATGCGAGCCAGAGATCCAGTTTCCCCTGCACATCCCTGGCAAAGATGAGACCCTTCAGCCCTCCCAATTTCCCCCTGCAAGAGCAGTCCTCCCAGTGCAGCCAAGGCAAGGAGGTGCAGCTGCTTCTCGAGTCCGGCCCACGTCCTCAGCATTAGCACCCTCCAAGCTGGAGTCCTGCTGGCAGGGTACTCTCCAGGCATGCCCCCGTCTTTCCAGTTTCCAGGGATGCCCCAGTCTTTCCACTTCACTTTCCACCCCTGCCCTGGTGTCAAAGAGCCTGAATCTATCAGAGATGCAAGGCCCCCGTGCCCCTCTCTCCATCAACCTCTGGCATTCAGGGGTGGGTCTCTGACAGGAGTGGGAAGGTTTTGGGGTTTTTTAATAGTCAAGAAGTGATTTGTTTTCACAGCCATGTAAGCTGGTTTGTGCCACTGACTTTATTGTTCCTCTTTATTTTTATGCACTGTTTGTTTAAATGTTGTTAAATCATCAGATACGGGGAGGATTTTCTTACACAAATCTAAATACATTAATTATTATAACTCTGCAAACCAGGTCTGAGTCTCTTCTCTTTGGCTTTTCAGTGGCTTTTGCTGGGGCGGGGAGGAGGGTGATCGAAACTAAATACCAAGAAGTGTTGGGTTTCTCCATGTGGAGCCGCTGCCCTGTAATCTTATTAAAGCCAAGGGTGTATAATTATGGGGGAATTTTTGCCTCCGAGGCATGGTGCTCTCTCACCTCCAACCTGTCTAGCTGCTTCCAAGCTAGCTCCAGCCAAAAGTTTTGCTGTGCATCCGAAGGTGAACAATGAGGAACAGACCGTTCCAGCAGGAACAAACAGTAAATCTCCATGAGACAAAGTTCCCTTCCCAATGAGGCACGCATGATGCCACCATATACCGGTTTGTCTGGGATTTCACGAGCGTGGGAGCACCACGTTCTGCCAACTCTAGCAATCCACCCACTGTTCCCTTCCCAAGCCATGATGAAATCCAAGTCTTTTAGAGCAGTTTTAGATCCCCGGATCAAAGATTGGGATATTACAGCAAAGGGTTAAATGCAAAGTGAACTATGCAAACAGCCCTTATCCTCCATATAGCTGGCTGCCTTGGTCTCATGCTCTTACGTCTTAATTTCTGTAGAATTGAATATTAGTTGGGCCATCTCCAATCTGCCCAACCCTGAGCCTGGGGTGGGGAATGGAGGGCAACAGTGTTCTTAGGAAAGATGTGTTTGCTATGGGAATATGGTGATGTGCACAGTCTAATTATATAGTCCAGCTGACTTCCTGCCCCTCGGGCGGGGGGCTGGACTCGATGATCTTCCAAGGTCCCTTCCAGCCCCAATGTCTATGAAAGCTATGAAATTAAATGAGTGCTTCAGGATTCAAAGCCCTGCCCTGACTATCCCCCAACCAACTGGGCACTGCTTTGTTCTTGTTGGATGGTGCTTGTATTTCTGTCTACTTAGCAATGCCTTCCTTCCCGGCAGTGTTTGGGGAGAGGGAAAGGCGTTCCCACTGCACCTGGCATTCAAGCCCTGTCATTAAAGGCCTGTCATTTATATTTGGGCCTGTTATATAGGATGATCAATGATGTCACCTCTCACTTAAGATTCAAGGGAGGTGCGGGGAATCATGAGGACTGTGCCCCAAGTGCCAGGTCCTGCCTTGGAAAGTCACCAAGAGCTACATACTGCATTAAAGGGTGCCCTGCTAGTGCCAGCAGATGCCAGGGAGGGCACTGCAGGGGCCTGCAGAGCAGATGGCCCCCCCAGTCTGTTATCCAGCCACTGCAACAGACCCCGGCTTGGCCTGCAGGAGCCGGGAACGCGGGAGGTTTTGAGAGAGGCAGTCTGGTAGCATGGGGGGATCTGGCAAATGTAGGGCTCCTGACACTGGAGAGCTTAGCCCTGCCAAGGCCCTTCAGGGGCACCTTCAAAGCCAGGAGACTCAGTGGCCTGATGCCACAAGCCGAAGAACTGCCTGCACTCAGAAGCTTAATTGATTGTGACATGGGATTTATGATGCATTACAACCTGCCTGACATCCGATTCACCAGGTGCCTGACAGACCGGACCTCATACACTTTACTCCCCCCCTTTTCCTGCCCGGTGCCTTCCTGATTTCCAGATATTTCCTTTTTCACAGACAGCCTCTTTTCTACCACTGTATTTCTATATTTCTTCCTACCACTGCATTTCTTCCTACCACTGCACAGACTCCCCATGCCTGAAAAAGGGTGACTATGCCCAAAAGCTTGCTAAGAACTTTTCCCCAACTATTCAGTTGGTTTAATAAAAGATATCACATCTACCCAAAGAACCTTGTCTACCACTGTGGAGTCTCCCTTACTCATGTTTGGCTTATTTTTTCCCTGCTTTACCTTTTGTTTTCCTAATTTCCACCTATTTACATTCTCACTGACATCTTATCACACTTTTAGCTTCTCTCATTCCTTGGAGTCCCGGAGCAGCAGAGACTCCCCATGCCTGAAGAAAGTGATTGCACCCAAAAGCTTGCTAAGAACTTTTTTCCAACTACTCAGTTGGTTTAATAAAAGATATCGCATCTACTCAAAGAAACGTGCCTGCCTCAGTCCTTAGACCAACTCGACTACAAACAAAAACCTCAGAAGCTAATGCGATTCAGGGAAGAGGAGCATTGAAGGTGTAAGACCAGTCCTGATTAACACCATGTGCAGAGGCACTTGTGCCTGCTTAACTCCACTCCTGCTGAGACAACTGAACATATAAACAGGCCCTGAAATCTTGTTTTTGCTTTCATCACTCAGAGAGCCTCCCTGGGGCCCTTGCACAACTTGAGGCTGAGGAGAGGCATTATTATCTTGCATACTTTTCTGGAAAAGTCACCCTACCCTCCAGGCATGCCACCACAGTAACGTACCAGACTACCTTTCCCTGTAGCTACCTGAGCATTTCCCCCCATACCCCTCCCACTCCTCCAGCTTTCAAAGCAGTGTCTAATAAGGAGCAACTGATAGCATCTGGCTCCTGGTTGTTCTCAGCTGCAAGTATTTTGCTTCCACAGGGGTCACTTATCTGCTCTCGTTGCAACGCATAGCTCCCACCCTCTCTGTTCCTCTAGCGAAACCAGCTCTGGCAGCGTGTTCATCACCGTCTCAACGCCGTCTCTCACAGTGGGCCCTGCCTTGCAGAAGCCAGAGAAAAAGCCTCTCTCTTCCCTCTCCTTCCTTCAGCTCCATCCTCAAGGCCCTGCTGTGCTGTGACACCCACAGGAAACCTGTTGCCCAGTGGTACCTGCCTTGTTCAGCAACCAGGGAGGGTGGATTTTTCTCTGTCTTTAAATCAGAGGCACCCAGCCGTGGGTGGCTCCACAGTGTGATTATAATGACCCCGTCCTCCCTGGCCACTCCATCCCTCTCCTGCTTTGCCACGCTGCGCTGGTGCCTTCATTGCCCAGAGCAGCATTTATCAGGGCAGGGACCATGGCTGCCTCCGGCACTGAGCACCACCCCAGTATCAGTAATGCTCCAGGACAGCTGCACAGCTAACAAGCCAGACTACAGGCTCCAGATCCCAGCACTGGGCTCATTTATATTTTCTGCCTCCTTAAAATCACATTTCCCTGCAGAAGGTGGTGGTCCAGAGAGGCATTGATGAATGCAGCTACACCCCATCGCTGCCCAAGCCATTTTCTGTCTCCTGGAAATGCCACCGGCCAACTCAAGCTTTACTGATGTAGCACCTGGATCAGCCCTAGACCCTTGTGCTCAGCGCTCTGAGCCACCCAGGCACTTTCAGTGCTCAGTTCAGACTGCCTGGTTGTCCTCCAGCAATTAAAGCAAGCTGCTGGGGGTCTTGGGTGGTGTAGGGGGTCTCGGGCATGGTGCCTCTTGGAAATGGGGTTGATGCCATTCCCTTGGTGGGGTGCTCTGGGGCTTAAATGAGCAGCTTGCAACCTGCCTTTGGTTTGAGGATCCAAGTATTGTTGTCATGCACTGTCAAAGGCAGGATGCAGAGCTGGGGATTCCCACCGGAGAAGCTTCCTTCTGGCTGGTCATTGCCAAGAATTTGTCCTTCCCCCACATCTAACGCTTGGCCCTGCTGAAAGCTTACAAGGAGCCTTTCTCCACAATCCTAACATTCAAAGCATGTTCGCTGTCAGCTGGTGAGACCACAAGCCTTGCTGTGCCAGCGGCAGGTATTTTTCCTAGGGAGAGGCCCAGGCTGCTCCTGTAACATTTGGACATTTGACCAGCTTCTGTTTGGCTTCATGGGCAGGGCAGAGATCCTGCCCATTTGGGTCCAAGTTGCCAGCCACCTTGCCTGCTGAGGGCAGCAGCCAGCTAATCACTCCCCTTATCTCAGCACCTGGTGCTTTATCCAAGACATAATGCTCTGCAGCTGCCCCCCAGCCCTCGCTTTGCAAATGTGCCCAGCACGCTGTGTTTATGCAAAGCGGACTCTGTCCCCAGGCCACCTTATCAGGTCTCATATGAATACACCTGAACAGCAGCCTCTGTATCAACAATAAAAGCATCAGAGGATCAACTGGCTCTGCTCTCCTCAGCTAGCAGCTGCCCCTTTGCATGTTCTTCCCTGGACTACAGCAAGAAGCCTCCCTGATCTGCTGTTTGCTCCGAAGCTTGGGAATGGGAGCTTCCCGTGCAAATGCCCATGCTGATTGCTGGTCCTTGTCCATGCACCAGACCCCAGCTACTGCTCTGGTGCCTTTCAGACACCAGCTCTACTCCCCTTGTGCACCTGGTTCCGGCCAGGCAAAACCTGTGCAGTTGCTGAGCTAGTTTGCATGTACATGGCTCAATAAATGCACCATAGCCATGCCCGGCAGGCCCCGCACGCCCTGTCCTCTGTGCCAGTCTGAGGCCCCACTCAGTTGAACCAGTCATGAGTGCTGTCCCCTCTTCCCTAGCCAAACACACAGGTCTGGGGAGAAGGGCATGCAGGGCAAAGGGCTGTGCTCCGTGGCTAGAGGACAGACTTCTTCCCCAGCCCTCACAGAGGCAGCGAGACAGGATGTGCTTAGGTTATATTCTGGATACAAGACTGGAGAGGGATTTGTTCTAGTGCATAGCGGACAGGACGGGTCTGGGTACCGGCTCTGTTTTTCCCAGCAACCTGGGACATATCTTAATTTGGGCAGGGGTGAGGGGGGATGCCGAGGCCTGGGGAGGGGAGAGAGAGGTGCAGGAGCAGTAACACCAAGTGGAGCAGAAATGAGGCTGTTGGCTCAGCCCCTCGTAAGGCAACATGCTGCATTGTGAGTGTCATAAGACCGGCATGTAATCTTTACTTAAGCAAAACACTCTCCATCCGGCAGCCTTGGGCTAGGGGGTTGAGATGCTCAGGACACCCCCCGCACAGAGCTCCTGCGTGTAGAGGGGCCGTGCCCACCATGCAAATGTTCCTTCTGGGCAGCTGTTTTAACCCGGGCTGCATCCCAAGAAAATCACCTCCTCTCTCAGGATCTTGCTACAGGCGTATGTGAGTGCACTCAGTGATGGGGCTAACACTTGCCGCATGCCTCAGACAAGACGGGTGTGCAAGGGGGTCTGGATTTAAAGATCTTGAGTGCTTGGGTTTTGTTTCTAAATACATACCCACGTGGCCCATGGTCGCGTGAGACCTGGCTCGTAGAAGGGCTGTGCCTTGTTCCCAGTGCAGAAAGTGATGAGGCTTGTGATGGCCTTAGCTCCTGTGGGGACTTGGTCCCATGTGGCTAGCTTTGTGCAGAGACCATGGAGAATGTTTCTGCTGAACAGAGAAAACCTCCTTAAGGAGGAGTGCTTTGAAGACAGGATTTTAAAGAGACTTAGGATAAGAGACCAGCAGCAGAGAAGCTGCAGGCATCCCGCGTTGCAAAGCCCTTGCTGTAATTAAAGCTTAACCCCCCATCCATCTGTTCCAGGTCACCACTTGGTCTCTTCTCCGGCTATACGGCTCCTGGCTGAAAATGAAGAGCCTGGCCCTTAGCCAGTGCATATCTGCTGCCTTCAGTGGAGGTCAAGAGTTTCCCCAGCCCAGGATCTGGCCTGCCCCGCTTTCCTCCATTTGAGAAAGCAAGCCCTCCCTCCACAAAGGCACCCAGCTGCTCCTGTGCGGTACTGTGGCCACAGCTGGGCCCAGCCCTCCTTGCCTGGGCAGAAGAGAAACCTTCCTTGGGAGGTGTGCAGCACTGATGTGGGGCACCTGTTGCCGGCAGGTCCCGGGCTGGGAGGAAGCAGTTGGTTTGCTAGTTGCTATTAATAACATGCATGCGTCACAGCTGAGACAGCGGATGGTAGAGCAGCACTGAAAGAGCATCCCCTGAGATGCAGCGATCTGAGTTTGGAGGGGGAGGACGGGTCTCCCAACCCCTTAGGTCACTGTCCTTTCTGCTGAAGGGGGGCCCAAGTCATAAGGGGCTGAGCTGGGCAGGAAGGCAGGGTGTGACGTGAGTGCCAGTCTGGCTCCCAGTTAATTTGAGTGGGAGTGCGTCGTGGAGTGTTTCTTCAGAGCAAGTCTCAGGCTTCATCATCCTCTTCCCCTACCCACATGCCTTCCCCCACCACACCCTTCCTTGCTACACCCCGAGCTCTTGCAAGTAGGGAAGTGGGTACGTGGAAATCTCCTTCTAAGCGTGGCTGGGCCAAGCAGGGCAAAACCCATGAGCAGACCTTGGTCCCGAGGGAAGTAGAAGCAAAGCTGTCCTCTGGGTTAGCACAGAGGAATCTTGACCGCATCCCCGCTTGGGCGGTAATGTGAGAGCGCTGCCCTGAAACTGCGGTTTGTGCTGTGATCTCTTTGCAGAGGAGACAGCACCTGTAATGCCCTGCGGCGTTGTTCCTTCTCCGAGGGCCTTTCCAGCTGCGGAAAAGGAGCTGAAAGCAGCACACAGCCCCTGGGCTGCAAAACACGGAGAGGCCCACCGCCCTGGGACCGGCTGGGCAAGTTCCTTGCTAAACAGTCACCCTCTAAAGGAAAGTAAATAGAGGAATTGGTGAGCTTCTGCGTGCACAGATGGGGGGAGGAAAGGCAGGTGCCCTTTGTCTTGTTCTTGAGAAAGGAGCTGAAATGGGTTCCTGGTGCCTAAAAAAAGAGCGGTGGGCGAGGCACAGCGGGAGCCTCGTGGAACAGGTCTGGGGCAGCTCTGCGATCTGGCGGTGGCCATGCGTACTGCCCATGCTGAGGGTACGGTGGCAGGGGAGGAATGGCCCCGTTGTGTTGCAGCGCCAAAGAGATGTCCCTTTACAGCTGTGTCCTGTCATAAGGGACTCGGGGAGCCTCTGCCTCGGGGAGCCTCTGCAAGGAAAAGCACCATGCAGAGAGCTCGGCGCAAGCCCAGGGCAGCGGTGTGCCTTTCCAGGCCCCTCCGGCTGAGGGAGGCACCAAGAAGCCACGTGCCAGGATGGACAGAAACCGCTGCAGAGGAAGCAGGCTGGGCAGAATCGATTTGCAGAGGCCGCGGGGAGGAGAAGGGGAGGGTGGCCATCTGGATGCCACCGCAATCATGGGTGCCGACAACGATGTCCTCCCGACCCGCTTTGGAGAACAGGCTCTTTGAGGCAGACGGGACCTTGTGATGCGTGGAGGAATGCCAGCCATTCCCTCGCTTCGCATCAAACCTGACATCCTGCTCCTCTCCCGTGCAGGCACCCCCCCGGCAGCTGGACCCGAGGGTTTCCCCAGTTCAGTGCAAGCCCTGCGAAACTGAGAGCAGGACATTTCAGGGAAGAGAAAAGCTGTGCGGAGTTGCATCGACTCCTTCTCATTTGCAAACACCTGTTCTTGCAGCCTCCCGTGGCCCTGCCTGGGAGTTACTTGAATGTTGTACGCAGCTGCCCGAGTGCTGCACAGCGAGTTGGGAAGGGCAGGGAGAACCCAAGTGGCCTTGCTCCCAGCCCTATACTCCAATTGCTAGTTTATGCCGACCCCCTGGACCTTAAGAAAGATGCCTTGAGAGGCCTTTCCCATCCCTGGTTTATGTGTGTGTGCTTAGAGCACTTACCACATGGTGAGTCTTTGCTATGCTAGAAGCTGTTTGCAAAGAGAGGAAGAGAGGGGCCCTGTCCTTGGGAGCTTGCAGGCCAAAAAAAAAAGATGAGCTCTGCACAGGAAGGTGCCTTCACCCCATTTTAGGCAGGTGAAACTGCAGCAAAGAACAACTTATGCGATGTCCCCAAGGTCACAAAGGGAATCTGTGGCAGAGCCAAGAATTAAACCCAGGTCTCCCGAGGGCCAGTTTTCTCCCTTCGCCATAGGACGCCCGTGTCCTCTGTGCCCCTTCTGCTTTGTGTGGTTCCTGCACGGTCAGTGAACCTTTCATTGCCACTTACCTGGGAGCACTGGTAACAGGGTAGCTGGGGGCACTGGGTGAAGCCCTGGCAGCAGTGATCACTCCTCTGGCCTCCAGCCTATCTGCCCCGATGCTCCCAACTGTGGTGAACATTGAATAAGAGGAATCACGGTCTTGATTTGACTCTCTGTCCCCGGGGGGAAAGGGAAATACACTGAATTACATGGAATAAAAACCCCAGTGTCATGGAATTAGAGAGGCAGAGGAAATGCTACAGTTGGGCAGTTCAAAGACCATCATCTGCAGAATAATCTTATGGGACCCCAGCTTTAATCTTCCCACTCAGTAAACACAGGCATGTGACCCCACAGGGCTGTATTTATTGAGGACCCACCAGCCAGCTCGGAGCAGTTCTCGCTCTGGCATCGGCCATGCAGACGGTGGCCAGAGAAGGCAAGCTGAGTCCAGCAGGCCGGGTGGCCTTCCTCTCCAGGACAGAAACCATCGCAGCAGCTCACAGGCTGAACAGGTAACAAGGCACGACTGGCCTGTGGCAGGGAGGAGGGCAAGCATGTGTCCCCACCACTTGGGCAGCTTGGTTGCAAAGTTGCTCCATTTGCTACCCGGACTTTTCCAGCATGAACCACCAGCTAGAGGGTCATGGATAGGATAGGGCCATGCCTGGGACAGTGTGTGGCCAAAGGGACAGGAGCTCTCTCAGATTTGGAATGAAAATGGGGTTATCAAACCTGAGTCCATCTTTCTCTCCAGAAAAGGTCACGGGCAATGCTTGCAAGTGCCACCAACCAGAGACGGTGAATTCTATTTGGTGTCGATGCCTTAGAGCCCTTGGGGGATGCTTAACTCTGGGTCACGGCCCAACATACGGTCTGAGACAGGTACCTTGTACTAGACTGCCCAATTCATCAGTGGAACTAGCTGCCCCGGGATGTCCCGGTGGCTGAGAGCTCAGCAGGAGTGGGATGGGATGGGACCTAAGCCCTCCTGTTCCAGTGCAGGAGCCCAGCCCCAACAGATGGGCTCAGGAGGAAACTCATCCCCGGGGCAGGTTGTTCCATAAGTGCAGGGTTTCTTGCACCTTCTTTGCAAGCTGTTGGTGACTGGACACCGGGCTGGATAAAACCTGGTCTAACTCAATCCAGTAATGCCTCCATGATGGTGTTCGCAGCAGGCTGGGACAAGCTGGACAGGGAGGAGGTAGAAAAGCAGCAGGCACAAATAATGCAGAACGAGGCTAAAAAGCCAGGGATAGGAGTGACTTAGGGAAACAGAGCAGCTCTGCATCAGAGAGGGTAGGAAGTGGGGCAGCTCCTTCCATGGTGAGGGGGACTGGCTTCTCCTTCCCTTCTCCCTCTTGCCCGGCTTTCTGCAATACCCCATAACAGATCCAGATGCAGCTGCCATCCAGGACCTGCACTGCAGGCCATCCACTCCTCTGGTCCTTTGGGAGGGTGGTGGCCAGGGACTGGGGTTGGAAATGAAGTGGGGCCTGGTGGGTGCCGAGAGCTGTGGTCCTGGCACTGGCTCCCTAGAGCTGTTTTTGCTTGTTCCAGCAAATCCCTGAGTGATGCAGAAAACAAGAAGCTTTTTGGGAAATGCAACCAGAGTCATGGGCACAACTACACAGGTGAGGGGCTGCCTGGCACCACATTTTGCACTTTCCTCTAGACCTGGGGGGCGGTGCTGGGAGGGGAAGAGGGTCTGAGTCTCACAGCCTGCTCTTCCCATCCAGCTGGGCAGCTTCTGGGTCCCATTGCAAACAAAGGCCCAGACAGGAGAGCTTTCTTCTACAAGCACTGTGATCCTTTAAATGCAGACCACTGCAAAGGGGACACTGAGTCAGGTGATTCTTGCCTGCCTCTGTTCTGTGCTTGGAGATCCATGAATGAACAGTGCAATGGAAGGGCTAAAACAGATTTAAAAGCCTATTCAGGAAATAACCCCTCTGCATCCGATCCCTGAGCAAAATGCCCCTTGTCCACCTTTCCAGGTATCAATGCACCTGGTGAGCAATGATCTCAGGCATTGCAGTGGATCTCAGCCCTCCCAGGGCAGGTGCAATTAGTTGTCAATTCAGCAAACCAGGCTTCTTGGTGGAGAGGCAGAAATGATCTGGGGTTGGTGTGTCCAACCAGGGCACCTGGGTTGATAGGACGTGCTGTCCCTGTGCTCCCCTCGTTGGCAGGAAGCTGCAGGTGCTGCTGTGGGTGAGCCCCACATCTGTGTCCCGTACTGGTTCCTCCTCCCTGCTCCCTAGGCTGCAAAATAAGAAGAGGTTTCTATTCCTGGAGCTGGGTCCTGACTCCTTCCTCTTTCTGTTTTCTTTGTAGTGACGGTGACGGTCCGTGGGGAGGTAAGTGCCTTCCAATAGTCCTGAGGCAGACAGTTCTTTGGGTAGACTTGATATCTTTTATTAGACCAACTAACTAGTTGGAAAAATTGTTCTTTGCAAGCTTTCAAGCACAAACACCCTTCCGGTAGTCCTGCCTTTTAGCCAGGGATGCCAGCTAGAGAAGCCTTCATCTGGGCTGAAGGCTGGCATGGCTTCCACGGTCAGTGGCCCATGGAGCCGTAGTGGCCCAGCCTCTGTGTGAATAAGGAAAGGCGGAACTGGTGCCAGTTTGCTTATATAAGGGATTCAAGGAGGGGAAGTGCAGTAACACCAGGCATTTCCCACTTGTACAGACAAGGCTTTTGTCCCAGGGACCTCTCCCACCACACAGTGCCTCAATCCTGATGCTAAAGCCTTGTTCACTTTTGAGTGGTAATAGAGACACCTGAGTCAATATAGCAATGTTTGCATCAAACTATAACATACAACCCATCTCTTCCTGTTGCACAACAAGCCTTGGCCTTCCCAAAAACTCAGCTCTCCACCCATTTTCTCTTGGCTTTCAGTGTCTTTTCCAGGCCTCATGTTCTGCACATACACCACTTCGCGTCAACCCAGAGTTTCCAGGCACATCTCACATGAAGTCTGATGCTTCCTTTCGGTGCATCCTCCTTTGACGGGCACAGCTGTAAATCAGCCCCAGTTTACAACCAGGCTAATCTGCATATGGCTTTAGGCAAAACACACTCATTTATAGGATAGCTACGGAGCGTAGGGCTGAACTCCCCGTGGACTTACGCACTAAGTCAGATTAACACCAGACAGGCCAGGTCCCCATTCTGCGTTAGGTGTATGAACTTGCTTTTTACTCAGAGAGCTCAGCTCAAAACCCAGCGGTCAGGTTTTGGCTTCTCATAACCAGCCCAGCGGAGAGTTTCACTTCCAAGGCCGTGAATTTCTGTCTGTCTCTCTGTCTTGCAGATCAACCCCATCAGCGGCATGTTCATGAACATTTACACGCTTCAAGAGCACATGCAGGTAACGAGGCGATGGCTGCTCCTGTCACGCTGATTATAATCCTTTCGACTGGCAGCCACCTGGCAGGCCAGCGGGTATGGGGTGTGCCGTGCTGTGCCTGAGATTTTAAGGTCCTTCTGTTATGTTTCCCAAGGCCCTGACGTCCCGGGGAAAATCCACTGAGGGCAGAATTTATCTGGGACACTGGAAAAGCTACTGCCCTGAGGCTGAATCCTGGCATATTTCCACTGTGGAGATATGAGGCCAGCTCGGGGCTGGTGCATGAGAGGTTCCAGTGAGAACCTCATCCCCATCCTGCTGCAGGGAAACCCAAAGTGTGACATGCAAAGCCAGGCCCCTGCCTTGTGTAACCAGCTGTGCAATGTGCTGTTGGGTCCCTCTAGTAGCGCCGTTCAGCGCTCTTCCTCCCTAGGAAGCTATGGGATAAGGCTGAGCCAAGGGCCCAGCATCGCCCACATGGGATTCCCCTACAAGCAGCGCTCGGGGTCCTGGAAACGGTTCTGCTGCTCTGTGTCCCCCGGGACACGGCAGGGAGGAGCCCGCTCACGTCCTTCCTCTCCGCTCCAGGAGGCGATCATGAAACCGCTCGACCACAAGAACCTAGATCAGGATGTGGCCTATTTTGCTGATGTGGTGAGGTGAGTGCCAAGGACTTGTGGCAGAACTGGACCGGTACCGGGGCCTCACAGGGAATTTCAGGGACGAATAGGTGTTCAAGACAGGTCTTTCTTTCAGGACAGATCCTTAGAAAGCTTGTCTCTCCAGCTGTCCCAGTATGGCAGCCCAACAGAGAGGTCCCCACACAGGAGGATGCATTTATGGGACGCACCCTCCGGCCCCTCCATCAATGTCTAACCAGGCTAATTCCCTTTACTTCCCTGTGCTCAGCCAGCAGCTTGGGATCCTGGAGGGCTGATGCACTTATTGTCACGTTGCGTGGTGCCAAGAGGGCTCCTCACAGGTCCGGCAGCCCTTGGGACACACGCTGCACAAAGAAAGGACAGCAACTCAGCAACTCCATAGGGACATCCTGAATGCCTACAGAGCAGGCCAAACCAGCATCAAAGGCCCTTCGAGGCGGGGTGTCCCAGGGGGTTTTGTTGGGGGTTTCAGTACGCTCCAGTATTTTTACCTGGGGAATTTGCAGCGAATGCTTTTGCTATCAGCACAATAGGCTGCTCACTCCTGGCTGCAGTTAACTAACCTCACCAGCACCCCCTGCAACAAAGCCCAGCTAATTTTCAGGTCTCAACCTGTGGTCTGTACCCTCCCTCCCCACGTGGGTTTAGGGAACCCACCGAGTCTCTTGGACGTGGGAGAGTCTGGGTGTTAATTCTCCCCCCAGTTGCCGTGTGGGTCACAAGGGGACAGGCCTGTCTGTAACAGAGCCGGGGGATCACCATGAGTTGAATCATTTGGGATGAACCCATTTGGGCAAATTCAAGAAGAGGTTGGATGCTCACCTGTCTGGGGTCTTGTGAACCCAGCATTCATTCCTGCCTGTGGCAGGGGGTCAGGCCAGATGATCTGTTCAGGTCCCTCCTGGCCCTAGCTACTATGAAACCTTAGTGAACAGCACGCTGTTGGCAACCCCAGGCCTGCAGTCTCATCTCCTTGTGCCTCAACTGGTCACGAGCAGGTTTGGAAAGAAGCACCCAGGGTGGCGAGCAGGGCCTTGATTCGCAGCTTGCTCACCCTGGTGTAAAGCTCCTTGAAACCAGCTGAGTTTCACCCACGTGAAAGAGGATGAGTCAGCCCCTCTCTTCCCACTGCCCTGGCTGCAGGGCTGGGACTCGCTGACTGCTCATCTGCCTGCATGGGCTGCAAGGGTCCCTTTCAGGAGCGCTCGACCAGCATAGCCAGCTGGACCCCCAGCGTGCTCCGGGTGCCTTGTGCTATTGCACAAAGTGAAGGGGCTCTCGAGTGAGACAGGTCTGAGAATCTCACAAACCTGCTGGACTGCTGCAGAGCTGTGCGTAACTGAGGCAATGACCCAACTCGGGTCCCCAAAGGGCTAGCACCTCTGGCTGGGGTAACGCTCTGGCCATCTTGTGAAATAAGCCATAGTCACCAGCAAATGCTGGAGTGCAGGCCTTGCCCCCTAGACAGCACCTTCCTTCCCTGCACTTGCATTTCTTTCCACTGCAAAGACGTCTGCTTCCTCCACAGCACAACGGAGAACCTTGCTGTGTATATCTGGGAAAGCCTCCAGAAGTGCCTGCCAGCTGGGCGTCTATACAAAGTCAAAGTCTATGAATCTGACAAAAACTTTATTGTCTACAAGGGAGGATAGGAGTCTTAAGGGATATGAAGACGCTTCCTGAAGCCTAATTCTCTTGAAGCCTAAAGCAGTTTCCTGACGCATTGTGTTGACAGTGAGCATGGATCAGATATTGCGTGCAATTCTTCCCTTAGCAGGCCATTTGTTTATAATTAAGAGCTGATTCCTCAAAGTCCTTAACATAAGCTATAAAGCAGCTTTAACAGTGTTCCCAACAGGTTAGGTGCTTGTAATTCATAAACTTTTATGGCTAGTGTAATAACCTGTGATCATTTTTGCAAATAAAACCTAATGGAGCATCATGTGTTACACAAATCACAACAACAGCCTCCGTGTCCTTGGCTCCAGACTTGACTTTCCCACCGGTATGTCTTGATCAAGGTAAATCAGGAAGAGGGGGAATTGTGAAGGTCACTTGGCAAAAAAATTCTACGGGGCAGAAGTTTTAACGAGCGGCAATCAATCCACGCGAATGGCTGATTTTATTTATTGTTGTCATTGCTGTGACCCTGACACATCATGGCTGCACAACATGCTGTGCCTTTTGCCCTGGGCCTGCTATTACCTGTCCTTTTCCAATCTGTGGCAATAACCCCATGGCTTGCTCCTTCTTGACCTTTACAATAGCTCAGCAGGCCTGGGTGGAGCTTGCTGCAGGGATGAAGCATACTGGAAAGAGCTGAAGAGCTGCAGGTCAGGATTAAGGCCCATTAGTAGATCTAAGTCAGGGCAATTTTGGCCTTGACTTTGGCCAGCCAGGCCTAAAACACACACTCCTATATTCAAATCGCTGATGTGATTTTCAGATCATTCCCTTCCCCAGATTGTATACCTAAACAGACCCAGAAATGGATCCTGGTGACATATTGTATATGCTCAGGGTGGCCAGTGCTTTGTTACACCCCCTCCTCCCCACCCAAATGAGTGGATCATAGTAGCATGGAAGGTGTGATGGTTCAGGGTATGAGAAGCAAGATCTGTGGGGTGAGGCAGTTTCATTGACTGAACCAAGCTTCATAACTGGAAGAGATAAGAGATGAGCTTTGATAGTGTCTAGGGTTTTTTTACACCAGCTGCTGTTTTAGCTTGCTGATCCTTTTTTTTTTTTTTTTTTAGGAAAAATTGTCATGTTCCCAGCCAAATCAACTCCAAATCCATGAGTCGGTCAAAAACCATAAGTGGCCCTACTACCAGCAAACATCCTTCCCCAACACCCGGGGCTTCAGATGTTTCCAAATCATTTGGTGAGCATCTTACAATCCTAGGGGTTCGGATGTCCCCGAGTTTCACTTGCCCTCAGCCATATGGCCACAGAAGCAAGCTAGGGAGGAGTCTCCCGTTTCCATAAAGTTGGCATAAAGCCAAAATCTTTTCACTGGAAAAGTGAGAGGTTAACTATACATGATCATTAATCAGCAACCTAACGATCGAAGGGAAGCTGGGTGACAGTGACCATGAGCTGATCACCTTCATCATCTGCCATAAAGCTGGCAAGTCCGTCAGCAATACAGAAGTCCTCGACTTCAGGAAAGCTGACTTTGACAAGCTCAGGAGGCTCATCAGAGAGCCCTAAAGGGCCACAACCCAAAGATGAGGGGAGTTCAGGACGAGCGGTTGCTCCTCAAGGGAGTAATCCTGGATGCACAAGCAAAGTCCGTCCCGTCTTGGAGGAAAGGCAGCAAAAAGGCACAGCAGCCCCCCTGGCTCTGCAGGGAACTAGCAGACCTCCTATGTCTTAAAAGGAAGACCTACAAACGATGGAGGACTGGAACCACCACCAAGGAGGAATACCCTGCTCTGGTCCGGACCTGCAGGGAGCAAACCAGAAAAGCCAAGGCCGTGAGGGAACTCCAGCTAGCTACAAGTATCAAGGACAATAAAAAGTCCTTTCTCAAATATGTGGGGAGCCGGAGGAAAACCAAGGGCAACGTTGGACCCCTGCTAAACCAGATGGGGCAACTGACAACTGATGCCCAGGAAAAAGTGAACTTGCTAAATGGGTACTTTGCATCAGTTTTGCACCAGTCCCATGGGACGCCCCTGCCCACTGTGGGTCAGGGAAGTCCGGGTGAGGGAGATCCCCTGCTGACCTCGTGAAGGAACACCTTGAGAGGCTGGACACCTTCACGTCAGCCGCCCCTGATGGGTTACACCCCAGGGTACTCGGGGAGCTGGCAAGCATCATAGCTCAGCCCCTGGCATGGGTCTTCGAGAGCTCCTGGTGCTCTGGTGAAGTGCCCGAAGACTGGAAGAAGGCCAATGTGGTGCCTATCTTCAAGAAAGGGAGGAAAGTGGATCCAGCAAACTACAGGCCCATCAGCCTGACCTCTATCCTGGGGAAGGTCTTGGAAAAGATTATGAAAGAGGCCATCCGTAACAGACTGGCTGAAGGCAATATCCTGAGGGATAGCCAGCACGGGTTTGTTGCGGGTAGGTCTTGCTTGACCAATCTCATTCCCTTTTACGACCAGGTGACCTGCCACCTGGACAAGGGAGTGAAGATTGATGTCATATATCTTGACTTTAAAAAAGCCTTTGATCTGGTATCCCATGATCACCTCTTGGCAAAACTGGCCAACTGCAGCCTCAACCTCACCAGGATCCGCTGGCTGGGGAACTGGCTTCGCAGCAGGACCCAGAGGATGGTGGTTGATGGAAGTCAATCGTCATGGTGCGCTGTGACCAGTGGGGTCCCCCAGGGCTCTGTCCTAGGGCCTGTACTATTTAACATCTTTATCAATGATGTGGACATTGGTGTCAGAAGCGGACTGGCCAGGTTTGCCGACAACACCAAACTCTGGGGTAAAGCATCCACACCTGAGGACAGGAGGGCAATCCAGGCTGACCTGGACAGGCTCAGGAAATGGGTGGATGAGAACCTGATGATGTTCAACACTGAAAAATGTGAGGTTCTCCACCTTGGGAAGAAAAACCTGCAGCATCCTTATAGCCTCGGCAGTGCTACACTGGCTAGCACTATGGAAGAAAGTGACTTGGGGGTCATCATTGACCACAAGAGGAACATGAGCCTGCAATGCGATGCTGCGGCTAGTAAAGTGACCAAAACGCTGGCTTGCATCCATAGATGCTTCTCAAGCAAATCCCGGGACATCATTCTCCCCTTGTATTTGGCCCTAGTGAGGCCGCAGCTGGAGTACTGCGTCCAGTTTTGGGCCCCACAATTCAAAAAGGATGTGGAGAAGCTTGAGAGAGTGCAGAGGAGAGCCACATGCATGATCGGAGGTCAGGAAAACAGACCTTATGATGAGAGGCTGAGAGCTATGGGACTCTTCAGCCTGGAGAAGCACAGGCTCAGAGGTGATCTGGTGGCCACCTATAAGTTTATCAGGGGTGCTCACCAGGATCTGGGGGAAACGTCTGTTCACCCAAGGGATGACAAGATCAAATGGTCACAAACTGTGCCATGACTGATTCAGGCTGGACATAAGGAAGAACTTCTTCGATGTCCGAGCCCCCAAGGTTTGGAATAGACTGCCGTCAGAGGTGGTTCAAGCGCCTACATTGAACGCCTTCAAGACACATTTGGATGCTTATCTTGCTGGGATCCTATGGTCCCTGCTGACTTCTTTCCCCTGGGGCAAGGGGCTGGACTGGATGATCCTCCGGGGTCCCTTCCAGCCCAAATGTCTATGAAATCTATGAAACCTCCAAGAGTACTACTCTGTGCCAGAAAGGCAGCCATCCCCAGCAACTAGGAAAACCACCTGAGTGGTCACTGTATTTCCCCTGCCAGGTCCTTCTGTCGTATCAGTCCTTAGGTGCTGCCCTGTTTCTCTCTCTCAGGGCATCATGCAAAACCCGTGGCTGTCCCCAGTGTCCTCGCACTGTCACTGCTGGAGAGCAACATAAGAAGGACCTTTTCTTTTTTCCCTTGCAGAAGGAAGAATGGCATGAGAAAACTTTCCAAGCAATTAATGCAAAGCAGGAACAGTCCCTGCAGCTAAAACCTGGCTGCGGTCCAGTTACTCGTCCAGCAGACAGGCCCAGGGCTCCACCTTGCTTCTTTCTCAATGATGGCTAAAGCCCTGTGCAATGCAAGTGGAAGTGTAGCACCACACACAGGGTCCCAGCTGCTCATCAGGCTGACTGGCCATTCACCCAGTGCCTCACCTGCTGCAACCACATTTCCGAGTAAGCAACAGGACTGTCCTCGTGATACGAGAAGTGAAGCTTGGTTCTAGAAAATCTCAGCACCGGGTCATTTGTGATTCTGAGCCAGAGCTGGGCATGGGATCTATGGAGATAAATAGGTATGTATATATATGTACATGCGCCACCAGCTATAGCTTGAGGCAGAGAGCCAGCCCATGTCATGCAAGTCACTGCCAACTGATTTGTATTTCTGTCTCTTTTGGTAAGAGCAGATCTGACCAGCAACATGGGGGTAAGATCTGTCCCTTCTTGCCTGCATGTGTGCTCCCTGGGGACTTTCTCCACAGAGCAGACACGTAGTTAGCTGTGTTGGCCTGAAGTCAAGTAGAAGCAAGGGTAGATTTGCACCTTATAGACCAACCAAAGTAGATATATATAGTCCAAGCTTTCATGAGTTGAGGCTCAATTCATCCAATGAATTTGATGATCAGAGCCATTTTATGAAGTGACTTTCACATCAAAGTTATAGAAACCTCCATCTGGTTACATGCGCCTCTCTAGGGACCCAGAGCCTTGCTGTGGGTATTCAAAGCTCCTTTAAAACATTTGTGGGCAATATCAACAACCTGGCCACAGGGCTATTAGCAACAGCAGTTTGCATTGATTTCCTGCACGCTCAAGACACGGAAAGGTTTGTGAATTCTCAGAGGGCTAACAGCAACTATAAGCCAGGCCCAGGGATCAGACCCTTCCTGGCATCAAATAGGGATTTTACCCTCCTGCAGCACAGGCTGGCAGGACCTCTGAAGAGCTGCAGCATCCCCTCAGCCACAGCTGCAGCTGGAGGAGAGGGCTCTGACACAGCTTCCCCAAACCCAAGGGAGTGAACACTGACCACTTCACCTGCTATGTGCTGAGTGATACTGGCATGGAGCTGTGGCTAGCTCCCCACCAGGGAGGTAGCTTTACTGGGAGAGGATGGCATTCACCAAAGAAAACGTAACAATCCACACAGTTGAACTAACCCAACCATTGCCTGGCTCCATTCCCTTTGCTCGGTTGGCTGCTTCTCTAATCTGCTGGGACTTTCTGTGATTTAAAGCCACCAGTTTGCATGGGCAGCCACACTCCTGCCCATAGCCCCTTGTCATGTAAAGGAGAGAGCTGGCAGCTAGAGGGAGGAGCAGGTCTGCAGCACAGAGAGGGAAATCCTACCTCTTATTCGCCATGTCAACACAAACTATCCCCAGAGCCACTGATTCCACAAGGTTTAATTGCAAAAGATAAACCCCTTTTGCCAGGGGAAAGGGTGCACATATAGTTGGTCCACTCCATTTCCAGAAAGCAGCACTGCCTTACTGAAGGCCCAGAGGATCTCATGTAACCTTGGTGGTTTGGGTTTGCAGGACTGAAATGTTTTGAGACAGAGGTAGTTAGCCATGGTAGTCTGAAGTCAGGCAGAAGGCAGGGTAGATCTGCATTTTTTAGACTAACTAAATCAGAGATGTGTAACATCTGCTTTTGTAAGCAGCAGCCTTGGTTTACTTGATGTACATATATATGTGTGCATGTGTGTGCTTTGAGTGAAGTAAGCCTGTTGCTTACAAAACCTTATGCTATGTATCTCTGATTTGAACCCTGCCTTCTGCTTGAGAAAAAGACGGCAGCACATTCTGAGAACCCAGAACCAACCAGGAAGCCTCCTTAGCTTCCCGCAGTAATTCTCCCCAAAGATGTCTAGGTGTCCTTATTAATAAACACTACAAAATCAATGTCTACAAGCCACACACACGGCATGGGGGGACTTATATAATCCACCGATATGCTGATCTGATTATTCACCAGAAGCTTAGGATCGACTATGCCAAGGCTGCAGCTTCATCTCTCATGAGTTGTTTCTTCTCCCTTGTACACGACGATGTTCTGGTCCGTTTCATACACCTTGACCTTGTAAAGAGTCCCCGGGGGCAGGCGCTTCTGGAGGTTTTCCCAGATGAAGACAGCGACATTCTCTGTCGTACTGCAGGTAAAACAGGGCCAAATTCAGCAGAGGCGCGGTACCCGCCCATGGAGCGTGACCGAAAGGGAGAGGACACCGAGAGGCGGTCAGTTAAGCTAAATGAAATTGTACTTTGAGAAGTACCAGGGTTGGAACAGGTGCCAGCAGACACAGCACCTGCCATCTGTAAGTTGGTACAGGCCGGACTCTGCTGGTGCCTCAGTCCCTCTATTAGTCCCCACTACCCACCTCACAACATCAGCAAAGTACTCCACATCCTTGTCCAGGTTCTTGTGGTCAAGTGGCTTCATGATGGCCTCCTGGGGGAGGGAGGAAGGATGTTAGTGGCTCCATCAATGAAACACCCAGAAACACAGGAAATAACAGCTTCTAAGCTTTGCAGACTCGTACTCGGGGAGTTGGTTAGGAATGGCCCTGAAGAGCACCCCAGGGAATAGTGGTAGGAAATCTCATTAGGGCCAATGTCAAACTTCTCCAGAAAGACCTGAATTATACAGTGTTGGCAGGAAGGTAGCAGGGCAGAGTTGTTTTAGAGAGGCAGCAGCAGCCACATCACAGATCAGTGTGGGGACCAGCACGGGACATTACACTCCAAGAGGATGCCATGCTGCAGCACTGTGCTCTCCTCTCCAGCAAAACAGACTCCTTCCCACCACCAGGCGCACACAAACTTTTACGCCACAGCTAAATCCTCAGTGGGGTATTGCCAGCAATGTAGCACTGTTACCTGCATATGCTCTTTCAGGTCTGTCAGGTTTATAACCATTCCTGAGACAGGGTCAATCTGCAGGGCAAAGAGAGAGAGAAAAGAGATTAGCCACACCAGCTGTAAGTGCTTACTACTCATGCATGGTTTGAGCCGTGCCAAAAAGTTTAGGCAGCATAAACTAGGTTTGTTTTGCATCTGCAGTACCCTAAATATAGCCATGGGGTGGTGTCTCAAGAAAAAATTCCCTCTTCACCTCCAAATGCCGTCTGAGCTTCCAGCTTCCTTGTGTAACTCCACACAATTGCACCAGTACAGGCTGGGGACAAACTGGCTAAGCAGCAGCTCTGCAGAAAAGGACCCGGGGGTGACAGTGGACAGTAAGCTAAATATAAGCCGACAATGTGCCCTTGTTGCCAAGAAGGCTACTGGCATCCTGGGCTGCATTGGTAGGAGTGTTACCAGCAGATCGAGGGCAATGATTCTTCCCCTCTATTTGGCACTGGGGAGGCCACATCTGGAGTCTTGTGTCCCATTTTGGGCACCCCACTACAGAAAGGATGTGGACAAACTGGAGACAGTCCAGTGGAGGACAACAAATATGGTTTGGGGGCTGAGGTACATGTCTTGTGAAGAGAGGCTGAAGAAACTGTGCTTATTTAGTCTGCAGAAGAAAAGACTGAGGAGGGATTGAATAGCAGCCTTCAAGTCCCTGCAGGGGGGCTGCAAAGAGGATGGAGCCAGACTGATCTCAGTGGGGGCAGACGACAGACCAAGGAGCAATGGGCTCAAGCTGCAGCAAGGGAAGTTTAGGTTGGATATTAGGAAAAACATTTTCACTAGGAGGGTGATGAAGCACTGGAACAGATTACCTAGAGAGGTGGGGGACTCTCCATCCCTGGAGGTTCTTAAGACCTGGCTAGACAAAGCCTTGGCTGGGATGGTGTAGTTGGGGCTGGTCCTGCTTGGAGCAGGGGTTGGACTAGATGATCTCCTGAGGTCCCTTCAACCCTCGTTTTCTATGGTTCTATGAAGTGCATCCTTCTGCAGTGATGCACGAAGCATGAATTTAGACATCAGCCAGCTGTCAGCCAGCACGGGTCAGGCACAGATCGTGAGCACCAGTGCTACCAGGTGTTTTGCTGCTGTGAGTAGACACCCCTTATTCATGAGGCAGGAATAAAGATCTCACTGGCAAGAATTCTCATTGGGGACCCACTAGAACAAGGCATTTCCAAAACAAAATAGCTCCCCAGACTGTGAAGCTGTCCCAAGATGCACATATCCTTGATCTGCAGTGAGCTCCATGGAGGTGCAACTTCCCAGCAAATGAATTTTGTTGCAAGACGGAGGTTTAAGACGGCCCCTGGACATCCTGCAGAGAGGGACGATGAAAAGGAGAGCTGCTTTCTGCAGACCCACCTCACACAAGCAGTTAAAAAAAAATCTTCCTCTTTGTGGTGAAGGGGACAGAGATTTTTCAAGGAATCCAGGGCTTTTGGAAGCTCTGCTGAAGCTACTTCAGAAGGCCTCATGCATTTGCACATGGAACGCCATATCCTGCTACTTATAAGAACAGGAAGGAAATCATGTTGGCACTCACCTCCCCACGTACAGTCACGACAACTAGAGGAAGAAAAACACCAAGTTAGACGTGTAAGTCAGGGCCCGGGAGAACACGTTACAATAGACAGACCACAGAGTGTTAATCAGCTTCAGCGAGTGGGCCGAAAGCTCTTAGACAACGTGGGATGCAACTGTTTAAATCAAGATCCACTGCACCAAGAAAAGTTATGCAGTCACGTACTGCCCAGCCACTGGGGCTCTCTTAGGTGCGCTGTCCACTGCCAGCGTGCACAGGTCTGCGTGTACAAGATCCACTTGTTTCTGTCAAGTGTCCTCTGGAATTACACCTGCATCCGAAATGCCTTTGTGATGCCACCCCCACCAGAAGGCATGGGGGCCAGAGAGGGCTCAACAGTCCCTTGGTTCTTTCTGCAACTTGACTGATAACGTCAAGGGAAACTGTAGAAGCTGAGACAAAAACAGGAGCCCTCCTCCAGGTGCCTGAACTAGAGGCTGCCCTGGAGACTCTTCCTTGGGTAGAGCCGTGCAGCCACCCTCAGACCGGGAGCAACAAGGAAGCAGGGGCACAAGTACAACCTGACTGTTTGCAAAGCCCTGAGTCAGAGCCGGAGGGATGATACAGGGATGCACTGGAAGGTCCTTAGATCAGAGTGCCAGAAGCACCTGGTCCAGGTCGGGACTCTCATTGCTGTTACACTCGGATCTTGTTTCGGTTTCCTCAGCAGTCTTCGTATCCTCCGGATCAGTGGAAAGGCAATACAGCCATCCCAGTGTCCAGGGGATGAAAAGGCACCCATCCGGGAGCCTGGATTCAACTGTTCCCTGAAACAAGGTGTCTGGCACTTGTGGTCTACAGTGAATAGGTCTATTTTGGGGACTTGCCAGAGAGGCTCTATAACTGACAGAGCACTCATGGTCATTGGAGAATTACCTCCTTGTTTGACATGGAGTCAAACCCACCCCCAGAATCATATGACATCCTACCAGAAGATCTGGCCCAGCTCCCCCTTGCCAATGCAGAGCTGTGGGTCTGCTAGCATGTGTACTCTGGATCCTGAAGAGCCAGGAATAAGCTGCATGCCAAGGGGATGGCCCTGAGCTCTGGGGCATTTACAGAGGCAAGTGTCTTGTGACCCAGATGAGTTTCCAACCCTGAGTAGAAGCACCAGTGTTGACATGCAGAGGAGTAGAAAGAGGGGTCCTTGTAACAGGTTTAAACAAAAGACAGATTACCTGGTAGCTATGAACCTCTAATGGGCAGAAATGAGAACCCACTTGCAACACCCTTCCCATTTAAGAGCGACCATGGAGAACTACTCTCTGAATACTGCTTTCCAAGCAGCTGCAAACCCCCCTTACAGGAGCTGTATTTTTACCATACTTCCTAAGCTTGCTGAGGAAAACACCCTGTGAGACAATAACCAAAGTCTGGCTACAGACACGTTAAATCGCAGCCACTGATTCAGCTCTCCCATCTTACCCTGCCCTGGAAGAAAATCAGGTTGGTTTGACATGGTTTGCTTTTAACAAATCCATGCTGCGTATTACTCATTGTCCTATTATCTGCTATGTGATTGCAAACTGATGGATTATTTGTCCCAGTATCTGTCTGGAAACTAATGTTAGGCTGATTGGTCCATAACTTCCTGAGCCCTTTTCCCTGCTGTTTGAAGACAGGCACCATGTTTGCCTTTCTCCCATCTTTGGGAACCTCACCCACCTTCCACAAAGGCTCTTAAAGGTGGCTCTGAGATTGCTTCAGCTAGTGCCCTAAGCACGTGAAGGGGAATTTCATCAAGCCCAGCTAACTTGCAAATATCGATCTCATCTCAATAGCCTCGACTGCTTTCCTTATTCTAGCCTTGGTTCTTAGCTTTTTATTGCTCTCAGGAATTCGAGTTAGGCAGCTGATCCGAGCTCACCTTTTTAGGCAAAACTTCAGCTTTCCTACCATCCTGAGTTATTAGTCTGCCCTCCCCTTGGAGCAGTGGACCAGCTACTTCTCTGGTCCTCCTCCTATCACTAAGCACTTAGCCACAGTTTTCTTGTTACCCTTTATGCCCCTTGCTGGCTGGAACTCATTTTGTCCCTTGTCCTCTGAGATTTTGCCTCCTGATGCTTGTGCTATTTATACCTATCCTTGGCAATCGTGTTTCTACTCTGTGCAATTCCTTCTTGAGCTCTAGGTACTGAATAGCTCCTGAGAGAGTTGGGTTTGGGCTACATTTCCTACCTTTCCCTTCCCTAGAGACAGCTTACCCTTGTGCCCTTAATCTTGTTTCTGGAAGAAACTGAACTCCTTTGCCCTTAGCCTGGCTTCCCATGAGATCTTCCCTGCCCACTGCATTATGCTCCCTCTCCTTGCCTGCCTGAGGATCATTCATGAACTCCATTTCAAGCTCGCTGTTGGGCAGGTTACCTGCCCCCTTCACATTCTCAACTTCCCTTGTAATATAACACAAAGAGAAGTCATATTAAGCACAGAGTGAACAGGTGCTTTCTTTCTCTCCTCCATGGATGGTGATAAGTCACAGAGGGAGGGATGGGCCCACACAGCCCTGCATGTCTGCAGCTGCGAGGATGCGATGGCCCAGAGGGCACAAGCACAGCCCCACAGGATGCTGCTCACTGAACGAATCCAACCTCACGTGCACGAGCATGTGCACCAAGAGTGGCAGCTGCATGCACAACACTCAACATTTGCTTTTGAGTAATAGGTTTGCTCAGTGAAACCACCGTTACGATTTACGATCGCTCAGGAGAAGCGGCTTGCTTTGACTAATGCGATTCTGAGACAATCTTTACACTCTGTTGGCTTTAATGGCACAAAAGCCAAATCCCTGGCTAGGACTTTCTGCTGTTGAGAATTAGCTGCATTTTTCACTGCAGCAAATGGCCTCTTCCACCAAAAAAAAAAAAAAAGCTGAAAAGGCCAGACCATGCCGTTACAACAGGGCCACTGACTTCCATCAGCGTGACTGAGAACAGGTCCTGTCCCAACCCCACCCCCTGAGCCATTCTTATCTAGGCCCACAGGCCAGCCACCTCCTCACCTTTATAGTTGTGCCCATGCCCGTTAGGGTTGTTGCATTTCCCAAAGAGCTTCAGGTTTTCTTCATTGCTCAGTGAGGGGCTGCAACAAATAAACAAAGAGCATGTGAGTCCCATTAACACCAGCATGCTCCCATTTCCCTTGGGATGGGGATCTGGCTCTTTCCTGAGTTGGTGGTAAGAGAATGAGCTCACAGGAGTCTCCTAATCAGGATCTATGCATAGCACCTGAGTCATGCAGGGCTTGTGCATGCAAGATTTGCTCTCCCCATTCTCCTTTCCATACCCTAAATCCACTGGCATGGATAACCCCTGGTTTCAAAGGGTGCGGTAAAGCCATACAATCCACGGTGCAGCCTAGCAATCAAATGTAGACTTAATCCATTCCTGTTTGTTAAATAGAGGGATTATGTTCTGCTTGTTAAACAGAGGGATTATGTTGGGGAAGCACTGCCATTTTTTAATTGCTTTGTTACCATAAATATTCTGATTGTGTTTCTCTATGACAGTGTTATTAGCTGCTGAAACAGCTCTGAAGGGTTGAAGGAGCTCAATTAGGAGGCTCTGTACCATGCAAGGTGTAAAACTTCAGACTAATGCAAAAATGGCCATTAATAAAACTTTTAATTAATTCCTATAATGATAAACTTGCCTGTATCACTACACTTGAAGAGATGCTTAAGTACTTTTATATACTTGGTGTATGGAAAATAGCAGTATATACAGCTACGCCTAGTGGCTTGTTTTATTAACTTGAAGTGGTTGGGCTACCTAAACTCCTAAGAAACTGCTGCCTTCTCTTAAGAGACGAACACAAGGGCTTGCAAGGAGAACGCCTCCTTCTTGCCCACTGGTGTGTACGTGTCGCCTCCCAGTCCAGTTCCAGTTCCAGGGGGCAATGTCTGTTTAGTTGTAGTACTCCGTGCCGTCTCTTCCCTGCGCTGTTGGGATGGTAGTGGGTGGGTGTTAGCTAGCGAGATCTTGGGTTTTACATGGAGCCCCAGGCAGGAGCTTTAATGACGAATTGGGGAGAAGCTACTATAGCAATCACAAACTTCAGAAATGCAGAGCTGAGTTATCAGGGAAGTTTCCCAAGATGGGAGATGTAGTCACCTGTGCCAGACTGAAGTCAAGTGGAAGGCAGGGGAGATGTGCACCTTATTGTAGATGGACTAAAGGGGGGGGTGTGCATGTGTGTGTGTGCACATACAGGACGAGTTCTCGTGAGTGACTCTCACTTCATCCAATGCTGTTTGATCAGATGCTCACAGCTGAAACACGCTTCAATTCACAAAACCTTGCGCTCTACGGTTCTTAGTTGGTCTAATAAAAGAAATCGGATTGACCCAAATAACCTTGTCTGCCTGTGCTCCACACATACACACTCACACAGATACATGCACACACACACAAATGCACATGGATACACACAGACACATACACAGGGAGACAGACACACACAAATGCACAGACACGTGGTACACACACACATACTTATAGACGCACATCGACACAGATATACGTACACAAATACACAAGGAATGCATGGACAGACACACACAAATGCACAGACACATGGTACACACACACATAAATACATATACACACGCGCAGACGCATGGATTCGCACACACGTAAACAAAGACATACACAAACGCATAGACGCACAGTACACACACATATATATGCACACAGACACGCGGATTCACACACACACATATACACACACAGACACACAAACGCACAGACACACAGTGCACACACATGCACAGATATACATGCACAGGGATACACACAAATACACACAGACGCACAGACACATGGTACACACACATGCAGATATACACACAAGGGCACAGCGATACACACAAATATGCACACACAGACACACAAATGCACAGACACGGTGCACACACGTGCACAGATATATATGCACACAGATACGCACAAATACACACAGACAGACACATGATACACACACGGGCACACCGATACACACAAACATGCACACAGACGCACACAAATGCAGACACACAGTACACACACGTGCCCACATACATGCACATGGATACAGACAAATACCCAGGCACACACGAATGCACAGACACACGGTGCACACACGTGCACAGATATACACGGACAGGCACACCGACACACACAAATATGCACAGACAGACACACACAACTGCACACACGCACGCTGCACACGCGGCCGAGGCCGGCAGGAGGCGGGCGGGCGGGGCGGGGCGGCGGGCGCT